GGGAAAGGGAAATGGGGAAATGGGAATGGGGAAATGGGGAATGGGAAATGGGGAATGGGAAATGGGGAAATGGAATGGGGGAATGGGAAATGGGGAATGGGAATGGGGAATGGGGGGATGGGGAATAGGAAATGGGGAATGGGAATGGGGAATAGGAAATGGGGAAATGGGAATGGGAAAGGGGGAAATGGGGAATGGGGAATGGAATGGAAATGGGGAAATGGAATGGGGAATGGGGAATGGGAATGGGGAATGGGATGAGGAATGGGAATGGGAATGGGGAATGGGAATGGGGAAATGGGAATGGGGAAATGGGAAATGGGGAATGGGGAAATGGGGAAATGGGGAAATGGGGAATGGGGAAATGGGGGAATGGGGAAATGGGGAAATGGGGAAATGGGGAAATGGGGAAATGGGGAATGGAATGGGGAATGGTAATGGGAAATGGGAAATGGAAATGGGGAATGGGAATGGGGAAACGGGAAATGGGGAATGGGAAATGGAAATGAGGAAATGGGGAAATGGGGAATGGGAATGGGGAATGGGGAAATGGGGAATGGGGAAAGGAAAATGGGGAATGGGAATGGGGAATGGGGAAATGGGAATGGGGAAATGGGGAAGGGGAATGGGAAATGGGAAATGGAATGGGGAATGGGGGAATGGGGAAATGGGGAATGGGGAAATGGGGAAATGGGGAAATGGGGAAATGGGAAAGGAGGAATGGGGAATGGGGAAATGGGGAAATGGGGAATGGAATGGGGAATGGGGAAATGGGGAATGGGGAAAGGAAAATGGGGAATGGGGAATGGGGGAATGGGGAAATGGGAATGGGGAAATGGGGAAGGGGAAGGGGAATGGGGAATGGGAAATGGGAAATGGAATGGGGAATGGGGAATGGGGGAATGGGGAAATGGGGAATGGGGAAATGGGGAAATGGGGAAATGGGAAAGGAGGAATGGGGAATGGGGAAATGGGAAAGGAGGAATGGGGAATGGGGAAATGGGGAAATGGGGAATGGAATGGGAAAGGGGGAATGGGGAAATGGGAATGGGGAATGGGGAAATGGGGAAATGGGGAAATGGAATGGGGAAANGAAAGAGCAGAGACCCGGGCTTCAGAATAAACCATCCACAGGAGTCTCTTAAGCACAAAGAACAAACCCCCCAGCTTCTCCATGAGAGCACAGTGAAGGCTCCTACCTCTTGTTGATGGGTTTCTCATCCTTCTCGTAGGGCTTGACGAACCAGCGGCCGATGCGCACGAAGTTCCTGTTCATGAGGCAGCGCTCCAGCAGGTTGTGCACGGCCTTGAAGAGCAGCGTGCGGCACTCGTAGGACAGCCCGTTCTCCCACACGCCATCCTCCTCCTCTGCAAGGCACAGGGCAAACAGAAATCACCTTTTAGCCCACCCTGTCACGGCAACACGCGTCACAACTGTGGGATCTCAGCATCTGAGTCCTGAGGTGCCACCGAGAGCACCCTTGGGGGGCTCGGGAGTCCTGGAATGTTCCAGAAGTGTCTGGTGGCTGGACTTTGATCCTACACAGGAGACGACACCTGTATGAGGACAGGAGGGTTTCACCGGGGTGAATGGTGAAGNGCATCAAAGAGGCTCCTCTTGAAAATCTGACCGTTCCCTTCTATAATGAATTCCTGGGATGGAGAACACAGTCTTACCATTACAGAGGTTCTTTTGGAAATGAAGAATTATAAGGAAAAAAAGTTTAAGGTGACACAAATCCCCCATGGAGCTTTAAGTCCCTTTCTTTTCCCTTTCCTTTCCTTTCCCTTCCCTTCCCTTTCCCTTTCCCTTTCCTTTCCCTTTCCTTTCCCTTCCCTTCCCTTTCCCTTTCCTTTCCCTTCCCTTTCCCTTCCCTTTCCCTTTCTTTTCTTTTCCCTTCCCTTCCCTTTCCCTTTCCTTCCCTTTCCCTTTCTTTTCTTTTCCCTTTCCTTTCCCTTTCTTTTCTTTTCCCTTTCCTTCCTTTTCCCTTTCCTTCCTTTTCCCTTTCCCTTCTTTTCCCTTTCCCTTCTTTTCCCTTTCCCTTTCCTTTCTTTTCCCTTTCCTTTTCCTTTCCTTTCCCTTTCCTTTTCCTTTCCCTTTCTTTTCCCTTCCCTTTCTTTTCCCTTTCCCTTCTTTTCCCTTTCCTTTCTCTTCCCTTTCTTTTCCCTTTCCCTTTCCTTTCCCTTCCCTTTCTTTTCCCTTTCCCTTTCCTTTCCCTTTCCTTTTCCTTTCCTTTCTTTTCCCTTTCCCTTTCCTTCCCTTTCCTTTCTTTTCCCTTTCCCTTTCCTTCCCTTTCCCTTTCCTTTCTTTTCCCTTTTCTTCCCTTTCCCTTTCCTTCCCTTTCCCTTTCCTTCCCTCTCCCTTTCCTTTCCCTTTCCTCTTTTCTTTTCCTTTCCCTTTTTCTTTCCTCTTTCCTTTTCCTTTCCCTTTTTCTTTCCTCTCTTCTTTTCCTTTCCTCTTTTCTTTTCCTTTCCCTTTTTCTTTCCTCTTTCCTTTTCCTTTCCCTTTTCCTTTCCTCTTTTCTTTTCCTTTCCCTTTTTCTTTCCTCTTTTCCTTTCCCTTTCCCTTTCCCAGGCTGGGATAAGCAGGGCAGTTCTCTGGGCCCCTCCCAGCAGCAGCAGGAACCCCCCAGGTACTGAGAAGTTTCTCCTCCATCTCCCTCCACCTTTGCCCTCCCAAAGCCCCCCCTGTTCCAAAGGTGCCATCCCCAGTTCCCCATCCACAACCCTGAACTGCCAAACTCCCCAGTCCTGTTCTGACCTAAAGGAGCCGGGAATTCAGTGAGCTTGTGCTGGGATCAGCACACAGGACAGAAGTGAACCCCAAAAGCAGGGCAGGGAAGCTCAGCTCCATTCCCAGGGAATGCAGGGTCTGTCAGGAATGCAGGAATTGCTGCTCTCCCTGCACAAAGGCAGCAGCAGAGATGCTCTCCAGCATCCCTGGCTCACTCCCCATGGCCAGGCAGGGGAGCACAGCAGAAAGCTGATTTTCATGATAACACAAAGCACAAAAACATAGCTAATAGCAAAGTAGAAAAAACCCTTCCAGTTCAAAGCACATCATTAATGACTCCTGTCAAAAGGCTCTGCAAAGCATTCTTTGTGGCTGAGGATGTTTTGATTTGACTTAGACCTGAGAGTTAAAAATATTTATTTATTCCATAACTGAGTTATGTGCACTAAAACAAACATAAATGCAGCAGGCAATCTGTATTCCAGAATAAGCCACCGTTGCCTTAGACTGCCACGTTTTAAATTAACTTCATTATTTAAGGCCTTAGCTTCATCCCAATAAAACCAATTTTATTTTTATACACACTAAAACTCCAGCATGGTATTTTAAAAGGAAGCAAACTGATTTTTTCAGGAGGCAGCAAGAAGTTTATCTATCCACACAAAGGTATATATTTTTCCAGATACAATTATAAACAATACTACAAAGAGTTTGCTCACTTTCCTGTATTTCAGAAATTAAACAAAGCTAATAAAGCTGTCACCTTGGATTTTAGCATCCTTTAATTTGAGGCTGCAAATCTCAATTATCTGAACTTGAGCTTTCACAGGGAAATAAATACACACGTGCTATAAAGAATAAAGATGCAGAAGTTCTTTGGGAGAAGGANCAGGGCAGTTCTCTGGGCCCCTCCCAGCAGCAGCAGGAACCCCCCAGGTACTGAGAAGTTTCTCCTCCATCTCCCTCCACCTTTGCCCTCCCAAAGCCCCCCCTGTTCCAAAGGTGCCATCCCCAGTTCCCCATCCACAACCCTGAACTGCCAAACTCCCCAGTCCTGTTCTGACCTAAAGGAGCCGGGAATTCAGTGAGCTTGTGCTGGGATCAGCACACAGGACAGAAGTGAACCCCAAAAGCAGGGCAGGGAAGCTCAGCTCCATTCCCAGGGAATGCAGGGTCTGTCAGGAATGCAGGAATTGCTGCTCTCCCTGCACAAAGGCAGCAGCAGAGATGCTCTCCAGCATCCCTGGCTCACTCCCCATGGCCAGGCAGGGGAGCACAGCAGAAAGCTGATTTTCATGATAACACAAAGCACAAAAACATAGCTAATAGCAAAGTAGAAAAAACCCTTCCAGTTCAAAGCACATCATTAATGACTCCTGTCAAAAGGCTCTGCAAAGCATTCTTTGTGGCTGAGGATGTTTTGATTTGACTTAGACCTGAGAGTTAAAAATATTTATTTATTCCATAACTGAGTTATGTGCACTAAAACAAACATAAATGCAGCAGGCAATCTGTATTCCAGAATAAGCCACCGTTGCCTTAGACTGCCACGTTTTAAATTAACTTCATTATTTAAGGCCTTAGCTTCATCCCAATAAAACCAATTTTATTTTTATACACACTAAAACTCCAGCATGGTATTTTAAAAGGAAGCAAACTGATTTTTTCAGGAGGCAGCAAGAAGTTTATCTATCCACACAAAGGTATATATTTTTCCAGATACAATTATAAACAATACTACAAAGAGTTTGCTCACTTTCCTGTATTTCAGAAATTAAACGAAACTAATAAAGCTGTCACCTTGGATTTTAGCATCCTTTAATTTGAGGCTGCAAATCTCAATTATCTGAACTTGAGCTTTCACAGGGAAATAAATACACACGTGCTATAAAGAATAAAGATGCAGAAGTTCTTTGGGAGAAGGAGAACAGCTCTAAACACCCCTGTGTCCAAAGGCAGGGAACAGCTCTCCCTGTATTGCTCTTTCCCATCCTGAAACATTTACAAACATCTTGTTAAGCCAGATTTTTTCAAAGTTCAAAACAAAAATGCATTATAAAATTGTCACTTAACAAAATCTGAAGTGTCTGTATGGTTTTTGTATTATTTTCTTGTTCAGTGAACAAAAAGAGCAGATTTATACTCGAAAGCTAAAAACCCAGAGCATCTTCATTTTGTTTCCTTTCTCCTGATGAACCAACTACCAGTGTAATTGAAGCTAAATAAGAGAAAACTGCTTTGTGATGTAAAGTGCTAAATTTGTCTGCTTGTAGTCTCTGTAGCAACCCAATATTGCAAAGAGACAATCATGTGATCGATGCTCTCAGCTCCTGCTGTTTATCCTGCACTGTCCTACTTACAGCAGCTCTCAATTCCAGCTGTCTGCAGCACAAGGAAAAACATCACCTGCTCTGCTGCCGGCCCACAGCAGCCTCATTAGAGCTGCTGCAAAAAAGTGTTGACATTGTTTGATTTAAAGATTAACATAGGGAGGAAATTTACACTGCAAAGACTCCAGCAGCCTTAATAGAAAATATTCCAGCCCTAGCACTTGGTTGCAGACTAAATAGACAGAAATCAACCCAAAACCTGGGGGTGAACCTTGGTTTGTAGTTAACTCTCTCGAGTGTGAAGGAATTTTTGAGCTTTAGCACCCAGAAATCTCATTCTGATCCTTAATTATAATAATAATAATTCCCAACAGCATCCCAGGGGATTGAGAAGTAAAATTCTCTTCCTGAGGAAAGATGACCGTGGGAAGTGGGAGAAGGGAGGGCAGAAATGGGGTTAAAAGTTAAAATGGGGTTAAAGCAGCATTTCCTTGGTGTGAGGGGCAGGGAGGGGCAGACAGGCAGGAGCTGTAAATGCCAATCCATTGCTGATGGCACAGCAGGGCCAGGTTTAAAAATCCCCCCAGACTGACACTGCAGCCGTGGCCATCCCAATGGCAGCCTGCAGGGCTGCACCACCTCAGCCTTCATCCTCAGCCTCCTCTTCCTCCAACCTCAGCCTTCATCCTCAGCCTCCTCTTCCTCCAGCCTCAGCCTTCATCCTCAGTGCCTCCTCTTCCTCCAACCTCAGCCTTCA